CCGCAGCCGCCTGGGTGGTTAATGTGCGCCACACTCCGCTCTTCGGGTGGTCGGCCATTCGGTACTTTGCAGGGTGAAGAGGTTAATTGGCAGCACACGCCAGCGTTTGGGGGGTCTCTCGGTCGTATCACGAATGGGTCTTTATAAGAATTCGTATAATCCATTCGTGTTTCCCCGTGTTAAAAAGTATAGAGCTGCAACAGTAACAACATGTAATAACAATAATGGAGTCATTTTGAGTCCTTTGTAACATACCAGTTCTCCAAGAGTATGCAAACTTTTGATCCCAACTGTATATTATATTATTATTATTATCATTATGTTTCCCAAGCAGACAGATTGTCCCAGAGCTCCTGTTTTGGGATCCACAGCTTCTGGTTTTTATTCAGGTGGAAAGCTATCATCAGGTAAACATCATGAAGCTCAATGAAAATGAAAATAATTAGAAACTAGATACATTGTATTAGAATCAACTTCCATTTTTTTCTAATGATGACTGACTTTCTGGACATCATGGCTCTCACTCTCTGTATACTATCTACTTTTTTTGAACACTTGACATTTTTTTTTAAAATAAAATTTAAAGGAAATTAACTGAATTCTTCAGTGGTCAATGTTAAAACTAAGACTTTTATTACCAGTTATTACAAAACCAAAATCTGTAATGTAAGGAAATAATAATTGCTAAAAATAAAATGTGAAGTGTGTGTAATGGGCTATGAAGAAAGGAAATGAAAAAATAAAATTCTCAATACTTAGTCTACTAAAATATATGATAATATGTGATAATTATAATTGGGGACTAGCAGACAATCGGTGTGATAGAATAAATGTCTAACCATACTGCAAATCAAGAATTAAAAAATCAATATTGATTGGGTAAAGACCTACAATGCTAATGTAATTTATAAATTTGAACACTAGAGTGCAGTATTGGCTTTTATTCTTGACTCCGACATACTGAAATACTGAAAATGATTTTGACTGCCTGCCTTAGTTCCTGATCATCAGCCTCTCAAAGTTTAGATTTTATATTTGCGAAAGTAAGGCTAGTTAGACACTGCTCAGACAATAAATATGTATATATATATATGAGAGCAGCACACATTAAGAGTTGGACAGCCCCAGGACCTGACATGATCCACAACTACAGGATAAAGAAGTTAACAGCGCTGCATGAATGCCTAGCAGCACAAATGAACCAGTTAATAGCAATAGGTTCCCACCCTGACTGGCTAACACAAGGGAACAACACCCTCCAACTACCGACCAATAACCTGCCTCCACACAACATGGAAACTCCTGTCAAACATCATAGCCTCCAAGAACCAAGGGCATATGAGCAATACTACTCAGAAGGAGATTGGAAACGACACCAGAGGATCAAAACAGCAACTACTGGTAGACCAAGCAGTCACGAGGAATTCTAAGACCAGACAGACCAATCTGTGTACAGCCTGGATTGACTACATGAAAGCCTATGACACAATGCCACCCATTTGGATACTGGAATACTTTGCTTTCTACAAGGTCAGCAAGACAATAAGTGCCTTCATCAAAAACTCCATGGGCAAGTGGAAAAACAACTCTAGAAGCCAATTCCAGGACAATAACTCAAGTGAACATTAAATGTGGCATATACCAAGGCGATGTGCTAGCGCCAAGGCGGTTTTGCATAGGCCTCAACCCCCTTAGCCAGATCATCAAGAAGAGTAGATACGGATACAGGTTCAAGAGTGGAAACACCATCAGCCACCTACTCTACATGGATGACATCAAGCTGTATGCCAAGATTGAGCGGCACATTGATTCACTGATCCACCTAACTAGGATATAGAGCAAGGACATTGGAACTAGAGAAGTGCAGGCAGATGATAGCAAAAAGATGGAAGATGATCAGGACAGAAGGAGTTGAAGTTCCAGAAGGCCAAATAGAAGATGTAGAGAACAGCTACAAGTACCTGGGGGTACCACAAATACATGGCAACCATGAGGAAGAGACAAAGATGATAGCAACATCGAAGTACCTCCAAAGAGTCAGACAGGTCCTGAAGTTACAGCTCAATGGCAAGAACAAGATCCAAGCCATCAACACATATTCCCTACCAGTCATCAGGTACCCAGCTGCAATAATAACCTGGCCAAGAGAATAACTGGTCACCATGGATGTCAAGACCAGGAAATCACTCATTATGAATGGAGTATTCCACCCAAAATCCAGCACCCAGAGACTGTACACCTGCCGGAAGGAAGGAGGCCAGGGCCTGTTGAGTGTCAAGGCTACAGTCCTGGATAAAATACAGAGCATCCACAAGTACATCACGAAGATGGCTCCCAAAGATCAACTGTTAAGAGAATGCCTGAGACTTCAACAGATAGAGGATGCAGAAAAAGAGGATGTTCCTTGGCAAGACAAATATGTGGCTCACATGACAGAATCCTACCAGTGGTTGGAAAAGGCAGGACTGAAAGACAGCACTGAGGCACTACTCCTAGCAGCATAGGAACAGGCACTCAGCACCAGATCAAGAGAGGCTGGAGTCTACCACACCAGGCAAGACCCAAGGTGCAGACTGTACAAAGACAGTCCAGAACTTAGTAGCTGGATGCAAGATGTTAACAGGAACAGCATACACGGAGAGACACAAACAAGTTGCTGGGATTGTGTACCGAAAAATCTGCACAGAATATGGATTGGACCTGCCTAAGTCCAGATGAGAGATACTACAAAGGGTAGTTGAAAATGACAGGGTTAAGATTCTGTGGATCCAGACAGACAAGCAAGTGCTGGCAAACCAACCTGACATCGTGGTGGTAGACAAGGAACGAAAGACTGCAGTCGTGGTGGATATGGCAATAGAGACATAGAATGTGATGGTAGATTAGAACCATCCGGCCCATCTAGTCTGCCCAATTTTCTAAATGCTTTCATTAGTCCCTGGTCTTATCTTATTGCTTGGATAGCCTTATGCCTATCCCACGCATGCTTAAACTCCTTTATTGTGTTAACCTCTACCACTTCAGCTGGAAGGCTATTCCATGCATCCACTACCCTCTCAGTAAAGTAATACTTCCGGATATTATTTTTAAACCTTTGTCCCTCTAATTTAAGACTATGTCCTCTTGTTGTGGTAGTTTTTCTTCTTTTAAATATGGTCTCCTCCTATACTGTGTTGATTGCCTTTATGTATTTAAATGTTTCTATCATATCCCCCCTGTCTCATCTTTCCTCCAAGTACCCAGTGACTATAACATCAGGAAGAAGGAACATGAGAAGGTAGAGAAATACCAAGGACTGAAAGAAGAACTAAAAAGGATGTGGAAAGGGAAGGCAGTAGTAGTCCCAGTTGTGATGGGAGGACTCGGGGCTGTGACTCCCAAATGGGGGAGTGACTTCAACAGATTCCAGGTGGGACATCTGAGATCGCTGTCCAGAAGAGTGCAGTTCTAGGAACAGCTAAAATACTGTGCAGAACCCTCAAACGCCCAGGCCTCTGGTAGAGGACCCGAGAATGAGGAATAAACATACCACCCCAAATGGGTGAGAAAATCTATTTTTATTTAATTTATATATAAATTGACTTGCTCACCTCTTCGGGTGGTATTTTTGTGAATTGCTCATTCTCGGGTCCTCTACCAGAATCCTGGGAGCTTGAGGGTTCTGCTCAGTATCTTAGCTGTTCTGAGAACTGCACTATTCTGGACAGCAATCTCCGTTGTCCCACCTGGAATCTGCTGAAGCCACTGTCCAAACTTACAAATACTACCACTCTGTTTTAGCCAGGTGTTAAAAAAATGCTTTAAAGTAAAAATGTTTTCTAAACTAGGAATGTTAATAGTGTTATTCCTCATACACAGTTGCTTCTGTTTCAGTTAACAACTGTGTTTCAATCTACATTTTAAATTGATTATCATTAGCGCCTGTTTGGTATTACTGTTTAATTTTAGAAGAATTGATGCTGTTTTGAAGAGAAAGGTTATTTATTATATATAAATAATATGTCATGTGTGTGTTGGGTGGTTGAGCTGAGATTAACAATAGCTGAAGACAACAGGTGAAACATTGAGGTCCTTTCCCAGTCACCCCCAATCCCCAATATGCAACACTCTGGATGCTTAGAATATTCTGGGGCTACAATATCTGGACAGTGTTAATGGAATTCATCAATGTCTGGATTTTGTAAATCAGGCCCCAAACAGGCCAAAGTAATGAAATCTGGAAGCTTCAACTGTGGAACCAGATGTAAAACAAAATCAAACATTTTTGCCTGCTGGTAGCACTAGCAATCGTTAAACACTATCGGCACAAAACCCTAAAAATTCAATAAAAACATATGGGGGTCAATAAGTCTCCATATTAATATAATGGAGGTATTTTACCTCCATATGGCCCTACCTGGCACATGGACAGTATGGGGAAATCTAATAAATGTTTAAAACTAGAGGCTGGCAACCATTGCAGCCCATTTACTAAAAGAAGCCCCATCCCATGAGGATAGAGCCTGTGGAATAACAGGGGGCATAGTCCCCCCCTGTGCTCCCACCCATGGGCATTGGGTTGGGCTATTTTAAATATTAATGTAGGAGAATCTAATGTCCCCCACTAACCCCACCAATGGGTGTTCAGTGAATCCCTAATATTAATAATTAAGGAGACCTATTGTCTCCTCCCCTGACCCACTCCCACAATAGGTGGCAGGTGGGGCCCTAATAATAATAACTGGGTGATCTAATTTCCCCTGCTGGACCAGAGTAGGGAACAATAGATCCTCTCCTTTTAATGTGTAGTAGACATGCCTATATGGCAGGAGGGACAAAAGGAGGTAAATTACCTTAATTGTAGGAATATGGACCTTCATATGATTTTTATTTATTACTTTTTTAGTGCGGCAGCTGGCTTACAAGCACTGACTAGCTGCTACCTGTTTAATCTTGGTACTGCCAAGGTAAGCAGTGCTGCCAAAGGGTAAATCAGTGGCGAAACTGCCACTGGTGCAGTCAGTGCTGCTACACCGGGGCCAAGGGGCCTGCAATTTCAAAGGGCCCCCAAGTGCATCAAATGACTTGTGCATACATCCCAGCAATCAAATGCCTATAATCTATCAATCTAATATAAACACATTCAAACACAAAACTACACCAAGTACACCACTGCATTCACATGCCAACACTGCTCACAAATGCATGCCTACTTTCAAACACTGCTCATAAATACAGCTCTTCTGGAATTGGCAAATTGTAGATCTCTAGCTGAGAGTTGTAGGACAGATGGGGTTCTACCATTTGGATATGCGTGTGCTAGAGCGGGCCCCCAAAAAATCTTGCACCAGGTCTTCTCTACATTAGTTCCACCACCGGGGCAAAAAGCTGTTCAAATTAAAATAAATGGTAATTTGCGAACATGCTTCCTGCTGGATGCATTCGACTTACCATCAGCTGCCATGCAGTTGTTGATAAATCTCGTAATAACGGCGCTGTAAGTTGGTTTGGATGCAGATATTAGTGATTTTTTAAAAGCTTCCAAAAGAATGTTACAGAATTGGTCAATGTGTCCAATGATCATTGGTTTGTCAGCATCACTTTTAGAATGATGGGCACTTTGGAAGGGAGGGACTACACTGTGGTCAGCATGTTAACATCCCTGCGGGAGTCTTCTGCCGAAGGGTTACATTGAGATATACATCAGTTTCAGATCAGGTCAATGTGGAAGCAATGATGTCATTGGAAGTGTGACCAGCATTACAAGATAGGTAGTTTTAAAGATTATGCTTCTATTGCATGATGACATTGTTCAGAAACGGAAGAGAGCATGCAATCTCCTAAATGATATTTTTCAATTGTTTGTGAACAAACAAACATAAACAGGTTGTGACAAATGCTCTTGTCTGCGGACATTTGCAACGAACTCTTGGAGGAGTGTGGAAGCTGACCTCCTGTCCATCGACTATGGTCCAGGTTGGAGACGCCATTTGGGACTTACCCAGCACAGTCGCCATTAGCAGATTTCCCTTGGTGCCCCTGGTTCTGCACTTTCCTTTCTCTTGAATTGAACCGAACGCTAACTTCCTTGCGGCTGTTCGCATGAACAAACCCACAAACAGTCCTCAACAGTACTTAGTCACGACCACCATGGAACTAATTTTGGCATGAAGACTTTGTGGTTCCAGGTCATCTCAGCTGTACTTAGTCGCGAATGTTATGGAACTATTTTTGGCATGAGGTGACCTTGCAGTTGCCGAACAACTTGGTTAGGGGTTTTGAAATACTTTGTGACCCGCCAGTATAGCACTTTTTGTAAGGAAGGTGTCTGAGACTAAGTGGAACAAACACTCCCTGAGAGCCAGCCTGATTATGGAGCTCCCGAAAGGTGACCGGCCAAAGCACACATTATTCTGGAACTATTTTGGGCATAGGACCACGTGTGTGGCCGTTCAGAACTTTGACATGGTGACATTCCCCCTATACTGCATAGATCTGAGCGCTATTTAAACAACATGGGCATTTAGATCAGGACTGTTTGGGGATGTATGCTATGTGAGGTTATTATGTTTTGGGGTACTTTTATGTTTTTATGTTTGTTCCTGGGACATGGCCGCCAGCAGAAATTTTGGGGCCTCTAACTCAGCTCAGGGTCTGGGCCCACTGGGGCCCGCCTTCAAATACCGCCCACTGGGTCCGCCTCCAAATACCGCCCACAGGAATACACAGACACAAACACACACACTGATACAAAAGGACACAGATACATACTGACACACACATACTGAGACATACACGCATACAGGCATACATAGTGACAGACAGACACATACTAACATACATACAGACACACATGCATGAGAACATAAAGACACATACATACATACAGACACCGACATACATACATACACACACAAATACATTCATACATACAGACATACTGACAGACATTAAGACACACATACATTCATAATGGCATACAGACATACACAGACATACATTCATAATGACATACAGACATACATACATACATTCAGACTGACATACATGCATATATAAAGACATACTGACAGACATACATGCATACAGACATCCATACACACAGACAAACGTTCATAATGATATGCAGACATACATTCATACTGACATACAGACATACATATATAATGACATACAGACATACATATATACATACATAGACATACAGACATACATACATACATACATACATAGACATACATGCATGCAGTCAGACAGACATACATAGACATAAATACATACAGACATACATACATACAGACATACACACAGACATGCGTGCCTACAGACATACATACATAGACATACACACAGACATACATACATACAGACATACACACAGACATGCATGCATACAGACATACATACATAGACATACATGTATACAGATAGACATAGACATACAGACAGACATATATACATACATACATAGACATACATACATACATAGACAGACATGCATACAGACATACATACATGCATGCAGACAGACATAGACATACATACATACATACATGCATACATACAGACATACATGCATGCAGACATACATAAATACACATACATACAGACATACATACATACACAGACATACATACATACACAGACATACAGACATGCATGCATACATACAAACATACATACATACACATACATACAGACATACACATACATACAGACAGACATAGACATACAGACAGACATACAAACATACAGACATACATGCATACAGACAGACATACATGCATACACACAGACAGACATACATAGACATACATACCGACAGACATACATAGACATACATACAGACACACATACATAAATACACATACATACAGACATACATACATACACAGACATACATACACAGACATACAGACATGCATGCATACATACAAACATACATACATACACATACATACAGACAGACATAGACATACAGACAGACATACAAACATACAGACATACATGCATACAGACAGACATACATGCATACACACAGACAGACATACATAGACATACATACCGACAGACATACATAGACATACATACAGACACACATACATAAATACACATACATACAGACATACATACATACACAGACATACATACACAGACATACAGACATGCATGCATACATACAAACATACATACATATACATACAGACATACACATACATACAGACAGACATACAGACAGACATAGACATACAGACATACATACAGACAGACATACATACATAGACATACATGCATACCTACAGACAGACATACATACCGACAGACATACATACATACATACATACACAGACAGACATACATACACATACATACAGACATACATACATAAATACACATACATACAGGCATACATACACAGACATACATACAGACATACATACATACATAGACATACAGACAGACAGACATACATACATAGACATACAGACAGACAGACATGCATACATAGACATACATGCATGCATACACATACATACATACATACATACATACAGACATACATAGACATACAGACAGACAGACAGACAGACATACATACATAGACATACATACATAGACATACATGCAGACATACAGACAGACAGACATGCATACAGACATACATAGACACACATGCATACAGACAGACATACATAAATACACATACACATATACAAATACACATACAGACAGACAGACAGACATACATACATACATACACATACATACAGACAGACATACAGACATAGACATACATACACAGACATAAGTACACAGACATACATAGACATACAGACATACATGCACAGACATACAGACATACATGCACAGACATACAGACATACATACACAGACATACATACATAGACATGCATGCATACAGACATACAGACATACAGACAGACATACAGACATACAGACATATACATACATAGACATACAGAAAGACATATATACATAGACATACATGCATGCATAAAGACATACAGACATACATACAGACATAGACATACATGCATACAGACACACACACAGCTCATTTTCCAGCCACCCTCCTGTCTCTTACCGTTTCTTTGCAGGAGGGTGGCAGGGGATGATGGGAGTTGGCGCAGCTCCCTCTTCACTGCCTGGTTCTCCCTCTTCACTGGCGCACGCGCTTCTCCCGCGCAGAGTGAACTGGGATATAAGTGACCACTTCCTCCTAGCAGCACTTGCGGCTGCTTTTTTTTTTTTTTTTTTTTAAAGGGGCCCGGTCGCGCTATACCACGGCAACAGCGTTGACTGGGCCCCTGAAGATATAGGGCCCTTCGGCCTGTTATGGTTGTCACCCCCTTATGGCGGCCCTGTCCTGGGATATAATTAGCTTACCGGTCTTTAACTCAAATTATCTCCCAGGCCCTGAGATTCCTGGTAAGGGTTTGTACTGTATAATTTGGAAACCCCATGCTGGGAGTTGTGTATATAAGCAGGCAACTTGGCCTGAATAAACCAGTTCGGTTTCACCCTTCACTCTGGACTAGTGTTTCAGTGGATCAGTTCTACTCTCTGCAAGAGAGCTTAATCACTTGAAGCTGTACCCTGGACCCTATTCCAGGGTGGGAAGCAATGGAGAGACCCCAGCCAAGCTTGGGGCTGAAGCACAATGGGTTTCCCAGTGGAGAGCTAGGAAGCGTGCTTGCTGGAGGTACCCAGCCGGGGTGCCAGACGGTCCGTCACACAGGTTGGTCTCCCTTTTTTATTGAATTGTGCTGAAATTAGGCACAATATGAGTGTGTTTATGAAGACAAGGTTTATGAGTGGTTGTGATTTGCATTGTTATTTAGCACATTATTTGAGTTTAGTTATATTTGACTTTTTGCATGTTGTCCACTTATTTTTAAAACATCTTTGTTAATTATGCCCTGTATTTAATGATCACTGTTGCAATACTGTATATGAAATTCTATAAATGTGTTATTAGATAGGAGTGTCTGCAGAGGTCACTATACACAATATAGCTTTCTATAAATGTGTTATTAGATAGGAGTGTCTGCAGGAGTCTCTATACACAAGATAGCTTTCTATAAATGTGTTATTAGATAGGAGTGTCTGCAGGGGTCACTATACACAATATAGCTTTCTATAAATGTGTTATTAGATAGGAGTGTCTGCAGAGGTCTCTATACACAAGATAGCATTCTATAAATGTGTTATTAGATA